TATTAATGAAAGGCCTGAGCACTGTTCATACATAGAGTTTCTGGAAGCAAGTCATTTCAGAAGTGGATGCCGCTCCTGTTTCTAGGCTACACACGTGTAGAGGTATGTAAATAGAGTACTGGTAGCCTAGTGGTAAAGAGTTGCCCTGTCAACTCATAAGGCACAGTTCAAATCCATCAGCTGCTCTAAGAGAGAAAGATCATCAATCTCCCATGTGATTTGCATCCTCCAAAAACCTACTTAAAGGTCAGGTATGAGTTGGTCTCCACTTGACAACACATGACAACAACACACTGATTGATATTTACATATATATCACGTGTGTACCTTGTGTAGATCTATATCATGTGTATACACTGTATATATGCACATATATACACATGTGTGTATATTAGTCTATAAAAGTTTTAAAAACTGAACTCACAACAGGATACATACATACAGATTATATATATCGTGTGTGTGTGTGTGTGTGTGTGTGTGTGTTAGTCTAGTAAAGTTTTAAAGACTAAACTCACAAATGTCTTTACAGCAGTTATCACACATTTTGTTACAGGCCTCTGAATTCCATACTTCATCAAAATGTTGAGCTATCAATACACGCCGACATCTGGAAACATATTTAGAGATGGAAATTAATTAAATTATTAATTAGGCTTTAAGACATCCTATTTCAAAATGCAAGAATTAGTTCCTATTGTGGCCATTAACAAATTGCCACAAACCAAAGTGGCTTAAAAAGTACTTTTTTATAGTTCTGTAAATTAAAAGTCAGACAAGATTCATGGTGTTAAAATCAAGATGTCAGCAGGACTGCTAGAGACTACAGGTAACAAATCTGTTTCCCAACTTTCTTTCAGCTTGTAGAGGTTGGCTGCACTATTCTTGGCCCAGTACCTCCTTTCTCCAGCTTTAAAGTCAGCAAAGACAGGTTGAAGCTGCATACTGGATAAATCCATTTTCTTCTGCTTCCCTCTTGCACTTTCAATGGCCCTTGCTTCAGCGGTATAGCAGGTAGAGAGTTGTTCTGCTAACCAAAAGGTGGTACTGTCTCTGGCAGTGTGAATTTACCAGTCATTCCACAGAAGGATAGACAATCCTCTCCCATGAAATTTACATCCCATAGGGTCAGCTATAAGTTAGCCCCAACTCCACAGCAGTGACTAATGAATGGGATTACACTGACCTGTCTAGATATTCCCTACAATAAGGTCAAATGATTTGCAACCTTAATTACATTCTGTTATATAAGATAACCTACAAATTTTTGAAAGTAGTATGAGGACATCTTGTATGTGGAAATCTGAGTTTCATCTTGAGATTCAGTGTATTACAACTATCAAGATAATTAGAAGGCAGTTTTGTATATTTTCTGTAGTAATGTATTAGTCTTTGTTGTTGTTGATTGCCATCGAGTCAAGCACAACTCATAACGACCCTACAAACAAAAGCCCTGAAGCCTGTATATTATTATCGTCATTTCTACAAGTTCATAGAGTTTATAGAGGCATGTGGTTTAGGAACTGGACGTCAGACCTGCTTCCAAACTTGTCTTAAAACTGGGAGCTCCACCAAACACTGTCCACCATGGGCAGCCATTATGGCATTTGACACCCCCCCAATGGCACAAGGTTCAGCATCACAGCAAGCCCAGATTACCTCAGTGCAGCAAATTGATTGAGGAGTGCTATACAACTTAGAAAAATAAAAATAACACTATAAATAAAATAACACTAGACCCTCGGGCCCAACCAACTTTTAACTACAAGGGCCCTCCATATATGTAGATATGAACAAAGGGCCTGGAGCCTTTCTATAAATATTGTTTCTCCAAGTTCACAGAGTTTCCAGAAGCATGTGGTTTAGGAAGTGGATGCAACTCCCACTTTCAAACATGAATCAATCTGAGAGCTCCACCAAACACTGCCCACAATGTGTAGCCATTACGGTGTTTGGCACAACTATGGCACAGTTGTTCCATTATGGCAGTTGAGACTCTAATAGCACAGGATTCAGTGTCACAGCAAATCCACATTACCTCAGCACAGCAAACTGACTAGAGTGCTGTGTGAATTAGAAGAATGTTTCTCCCAAATATTGTAACAAAGGATTAAAATATAATCCTTCGGGCCCAACTTCTAAACATAAGGGCCCTCCAGAAGGTCTTGTTGGCTCTAAACAAGAGGCTTGCTTAAGTAAAAACAACCAAACAATCCACTCAGATGCTCAACCAAGACAAGAGCACCATCTTACAGAATCCAGCTGCTTCATCCAACTCCACAATAAAGACAAGGGCTTTGGCGTTATATGTTGTTAAGTGCCATCTAGTAACAGCCCTAGACACAAAAGAACTATTGTCCTTTCAGTCTTTAATTCCAAGATATGCTTTCTAGGGGTCTACTGAACTTTTAAGAAAAGTTTTACTTTATCATTTAACTAGATTAGCATAGCATCTATAGGAAAGAAATAGTCCTCTCTTGTTTATCACTGTCTAATTATCATTTTGACGTTTTTTTCAGTTCTTCATACACTACAGTCAAGATGGAAGCTTTATGTCTAATTAAAAGTACCTTAAGCATTTAAATTCCTTTTTTAAAAAATTTTAAATGAGAAACATAGACCTGCCCTTAGTTTCCACTGACGGGAGCATGGCATACATTACTGAGCTCAATTCTCACTAACAAAATGCTAACATTATTGTTGATGTTGTTATGTGCCGTCGAGTCGTTTCCGACTCATAGCGACCCTATGCACAACAGCCCTAAACCCTGCTCTAACCTGCGCCAACCGCACCGCCTC